AATCTTTACATTATCTGATTCAATTACTCCGTTTGGTTGGTGTTCATACCATTTTTCAGCTTTCTCTAGTTGGTACAAACCACATAGCTTCCAGTGTGCAATGCAAGCCACATTGTCATGTCTTCTTTTTGTGCTAGTTTCTTGCATTCACTTATCAAGTGTGTTTTATGCTCTCCCTTTTCCCCACAAAGTCTACAGAGTGGAGACTCAACAGTTCTATCTATGTGAAACTTTACATAATTTGTCCTTAGAGCTTGTTCTTGTGCAGCACAAAGAAGTGCTTCAGTTTCAAGTCTCCTTTCTTCAGCTACCACCATGTCTTCTCCCTATCCACTTCTTTACCTAAATCTCTGTTATATTGTCCATACATTTTCTTGTCAATCCCAGCTTTCTCTAGCTCCTCTACTGCTTTCTTCTTAAAATTTTCTTTTGTTTCGCATCTTTCCGTTTCAATCACACCTGTTTTTGCAACTTGTTGTAAAAGTGGTTCCACACTGTTCTTTACATACCATCCCAAACTGTTCTCCTCTGTACGAATGCATCCTTCACAACTGATCAAACCTCTTCCGCCTTTTTCTCTCGGTAAATATAATCGATGATTGTCACTTCTTGGGTGAAGAGCACCATACAGTGTCATCAGTTTACGTATTTTGCAATCCATTGCAGCAATTTCATCTTTTGTCCATTTCAAAACACCAGCTCCGTACCTCAGCAGCGCAACAACCCAAGTATTCATCGCCATGATTTTGTTTCTGCCATTCAGTTTTGATTTCAGCACCAGTCTTAATCTCCTTCCGTATGCCCTTACAAACTTTCTCTTCATTTCACCCTCCATAATTTATTAATAATTTATTAATAATTTATTAATAATTTATTAATAATTTATTTATATTTTAAATATTTATTAATATCCATAATTTATTAATTTTAATTAATAATAATAATAATTATTATTATTATTATTTTGTTGATCTTAGGTTTTGGACCCGGCAATAAAGATCACATTTTTGCAATAACTTTTATTCTTTCCAGTTGATGTTGGCTTGGAAAATAAAGACCAGACACTCAAATTTACTTCGACGATTCAACCCTTCTACGATCTCGATCAATAAAAATTTATGAACAAAGTACTGTAATATGTGAAAGAGTGTAAGCTATTTGTTGCAACCAAACCATGATCTTTTGATGTAAGGGACAAACTAATCGAAAGCCATTTTTTCGAGAATTCGCCTATCAGCTTTTACGACCGTCAGGGACCGACTCCACACAATGGTTTTGACACGATCTTCCTCAGATCTTCATTTTGCCCAAACATCCCACCCGTTAATTTTAGGGCGGCAAAACGAGGGTCAGTGATCGAGCTACAGTACATAGTTACTGTTACAATTACAGTTACAGTTACAGTCTGTTATACTCAGAAAATTAACAATTATATGTGTACTTATACGTGTAACGAAGTTACTCACCGGCACTGGAACCTCGGTATAAGTCGAGGGGAGTTTCTTCTCGTTTTCAGCTTGCTTTTCGACTGGAATTGAACAAGAGCTAGAATAGATGTTAACGTTTCAATCGAGAGCTTCACACTTCACACGCTAACACATAATATATGCCAGTTTCTCCTAAGAAACTACTTATTGCATGTTTTGTTTCATTTTTGCATGTCATCAAGAGCGTTAAAAATAGCGATTTTATACTTTTAATTTCTCATTGGGCAAAATTCAGTTAAACAAAAGGACAAATTGAACTAGTCTAATTTGAGACCAAATTCAAGTCCCAGGTGTAAGTAGCATGTACTGCACAATTTAAACATAAATTGGAATAAAATGGGTCATCTATAGGAATAGTTTTTTTTAATGAATTTTGGTGTTTTTGTTTATTTGGGTCAGCGGTACGCTTTGTTCATATATTATTTTTCGGGTTACTAAGGCAGTCACAACAGTGTCGCTATATGTGTGCAATGGCCATGGGAGTAGCAAGTTTATTTCGTTGATCTCAAAAATGGAGCGACGAACTGTCAGTAAGATTTAAAGAAAAAAGGAATAGAGTTTCATAAAATAAGCTTTGAATAATAAATAAGCTTCAATCTTGCTTTGCGGAAATTATAAGGCGTACTTTATGGGAAATCGTGAAATATGTTATTGCCTAGTATATACACAATGCTTTTCGCATAAAAGTCGTGGTGCATATAAATAAACTAAATTACCTCTTTTTATATTAAAAAAATGCTTAGACCTAAAGGAGAACAAATATGATCCAGAAACAAATTGTGTAGACAACTAACTTAATTTAAATCGGTAAAAAGCTGTTATAGGTATAGACCAATAAGTTTAATGAATATTTCAAAACGTTTTACGAAACGACTAATGTTGAGTTTTACTTAATATACTTCTGTTATTTTCCAGACTTACATCACTTTAGGATTTGATAATTCTAATTCTGATTCATAATTAAATGTATTAATCTTATACATACAAGTTTTTGTTTCATTTTGTACAAAAATTTAAATAATCGTGTTAACATGACTACAGTACAACTGACGTCAATGTGTAATCTGTTTAGTTTTCTTGTCGGAAATTTTCTACATTGGTATATCTTCAGATGCTATAATTTGAAATAAATTTCAAATTCACTGTGATTGTAATGAAGCAGAGATGCGCGAGGAACATTGAATGACGTCAACAAAACAACACTTCGTCGCTCCCACAATTTTGAAGTTTAGATTTACAGAACGAACTGAAACTAACCTAGTGACGAAACTAGATTGGGATATTCTTTAGATATCCATCATAAGAAATAAGCATGCATACTGTAACTTGTGGAGAACAGTAAACGATAATAAAGCAAAAACATCATCTTTAATGCAACATAATAATTTAGATAACTGTTGAGTTGTGTTTAATCTCGAGTTTCCATTTTGGATGACTGTGTTGTACGGGCCCCAATGAACGATGGGACAGGAAAACACATGGCGGATATGTTTAGGTTTTGGGTTTATTTTGTGGGAGTTTTGAAGTAAATGTGGAACGGAAAAAACTTTATTTGCGTGTGAAAATATTTCCCACACGTAAGGTGGGACCACAGCAAGGATTATACAGTGAAAAGGGGTATTATGAGGGGCCAAAGCGAGTCAAATTCGGAGGAATCACAAGCTATTAGGGGCGGAAATCAAAGTGAAACACCCATGGACCGTGTCACAGTCGTGCAAAAACTGTTGGAAACCAGTGTTAAAGTTGCTCTGCACTTGGACAATCAAACTGAAACGATTTTAGAATCTAGAAACGAGAGAAAACTGCAACGACATAAAGGACTTTTTATGGCTTGGTGTCAGCTATGATAGAGCTAAAATTTGAGCAAGGGTTGGATCTTGAGGCAGTTAATGAATGGGCAACTGAACCAAATAAGGTTATCGAAGGATATGGACACTCTTTAGAGGCTATGCAAGATATTCTACAAAAGATGGACGATGATAAGGAAGCCAGGAAGAGACATGACATTGAAGATCGAGAAGAAGAACAAGAGGAAGAAGAGAAACAAGAACGACTGCGAAGATATTATTTACAATGGAAGAAAATACGACTGCAACGTTGGAAAGAGGAACAAAACACTGCATGGTTACCTAAGTTAGAGAATGTAAATTTATGGGAGATCACTAGATTGGAACAGGTTTTGGGAGCAATTTGAGTCAGAAATTGACAAGACGTCTAAACTGTGGTTACATGTAACTAAATTTGCGTACTTGCGAAAACTACTGGGTGACCGACCAAAAACTTAAATACTAGGACTTCCGAAA